GCAAACACGGGCCTCTCACCAGGAAGTGAGGCAGAGGAGAGTGGAGGGCAAGAAAGTTATTCAGGGATTCATGAGCTCTTACTATCAACTCTTTGGTCCCCAGAAAAGAGAATTGATGATAAATTTCAATGGAGTTGTAAGGTAAATAAGTAATGGGTTTGGGGACCCACAATATGGCTTCAGGAGAAAAGGCTGGCAAAACTAAAATTCCTGTCACTGTCCCAGTCATTGTTCAGGGACGTATTTTCTCCCTCAGAGAATTTGCCTATTAGGAACCGGTGGCGCAGCAGGAGGTGAGCGGCAGGTGAGTTTCATCTGTATTTACAGCAGCCCCCATGGCTCGCATCACCGCCTGAGCTCCTCCTCCTGTCAGATCAGCGCTGGCAATAGACTCTGCATTATGGTGAGTTGTATAATTATTTCATTATCTATTACAATATAATAAGAAGAATAGAAATAAAGTGCACAATAAATGTAATGTGCTTGAATCATCTTGCAACACCCCCCCATCCCCACCCCCAGACCCATGGAAAAATTGCCTTCCGTGAAACCAGTCCCTGGTGCCAAATACGTTGGGGACCACTGGTCTAAACGACTGCTTCAAATCTCAGATTTGTCAACTTTAGTGCCTGTTCCACCAGGATCCACTGGATCCCAAAGAATGAAGTTCATGAAGGACCTTGTTTCTGATCCTGGATCCCCATGGGCTCTGGGTCCCCTGACAGCAAGGAAGCCTTGGTTTCCAGCCACCCTCCCCCTGCCCAGCCTCAGCGGAGCCGATGCCTGTGGGGGCGGGGCTGTGGGGAACGGGGGACGTACTCAAAGAGGCGCTCACTTCCCTGTGGGACTGGTGTGTTGCCAGATCTAGTGATGGCTTTTCAAAAGAAATCAGAAATCTGCATTTATGTGAAAACTGTTGCAGGCCGAGCGTGGTGGCTCACACCTGTGATCGCAATGCTTTGGGAGGCTGAGGTGGGAGGATTGCTTAAGCCCAGGAGGTCAAGGCTGCAGTAAGCTGTGATCAGGACACTGCACTTCAGCCTGGGTGACAGAGGGAGAGAGAACCTGTCCCTAAGAAAAAATAAGAAACAAACTTCTGCTTTTTAGATGTTGGCAATTAATTCACATCTTAATATATACAGGTAATTAAAAGGAAACATGTCTGGGTTGGAACTAGTTTGCTACTTCTTGGTCGCTGGGCCCATTGTCCTGCAAAGGGCTTTGCACACAGCTGGCTGCCTCTGTCTCCTCACCTCTTACTCACCCCATGAAGAGAGAGCACTTAATAAATGTTTGCTACTGTCATTATCCCAAGCTCCAGTGGCCTTCCTGGAGCGTGGGCTTATATTTATTGCCAGAAAATATGGTGTGACCTCAACTCTGATAACACTGAAAGTCCCTGAGGCCCGTCTCCACCAGTGGACAGTGTGGAATTTCTCATGTTTCCTTTGCACTGGTGACGAGTGACCAGAGAGCCACTGTGTTCACATAACTCCCTGGAGAGCGGCGGTGTCCACACTTCTCACTCCTCTGCTGCTCTTTGGCAGGGACTCTGTCCCAGACCCAGGAGTGGGCTGCACCTTTGCGAGCACCTCACCCTCTCCCCAGCTGCCAGGGTGACGCCAGCCTGGGAGTGGGTCCCACTTTGCCCTTCCACTGGCCTGTTGTTCTAGTGCTCAAATAATTGGCTGTGGCCTTACTTCCCCATTAATTCTTCTATCAATCAGTTGGGTCGATACGCCAGAACACTTTGGTTAGCCATGCTGGAAACTGTTCTTCCTAGACCAATGCGAAAAATATCAGCGATAAAAGAATCCCTCCTCTAACCTGTGCACTTTGCTAAGTGTTCAAAGTAAATGCCCAATGTCTTCGTGGACAGTGACCTTCCTGTGGCCTTATTACCTCCCCCAGTTGTGGACTCAGTTATCTGACTCAATTATCAGCCAAAAGGAAGCAATGCCAGTGTTTACACACAGTGGCTCTCACCGCCTTCCCCTGGGAAGTTTTTAAAAAACACCAAGAGCCCAGGAATCCTAATTATTCTAATTGAGGCGATGCTAAGTGAAGACAGGGTTGAAACCCTTGCTGGATGGTCAGATAATTAAAAGGGAAGGCCTTCAGCTTCGGGCCAGAGTGGGGAGACCCCGCCTTCCTTGAAAGGTAACTGTTTTAAAATATAGTGTCACTCCAGAAAAAACCTTTGACAAAGAAATCACTGGAATAAGATGTATTTTATTTTCTAATAAAATGCACCTATAGCCAGCAGACTGTTGGAGGCTATAACATCTAGGGTTTTCCTACTGTGAGCTCTAGGGTAGAACTCAACCCTTTTTTTTCAAATTAGAGAGGGGGTGGGGTCTCACCAAGTTCAGGCGGGACTCTAACTCCTGGCCCCAAGCCTCCTCCTGCCTCAGCGTCTCGACGGGCTGGGCCTGCAGGGACATGCCTTGCGCTAAACCCCTTCTCCACCTGCTAAAATGTAGACCCAGCTATGCCTTCTTCAGTTGCCAGAGAATGTTCCCTTTGCCCAGACTCTACACCCCTCTCTGTGCATCAGAGACTCTTCACTTGCTGCACGAACTTCCATGCAGCCACCTCAGCGGTAAGTCCCTTACGAGTGGGATCAGGGCTTCCATGGCATAACTGCAGTGCCCGCAGCCCTGAGGCCTCACACCTGTGCCTGTCCTGAACAGCAACGCTCGGATGGCCACGGCAGAGCCTTCTCTGGGCGTCAGTGGGTGCCTCCCGAATGAGGGAGAGGCCACAAGGCTGTTACTTAGTCTTTAGAATTTTCAGGAAATGAGCTAAGTAAGCTAAGCTGTTCCCAGGTAAGCATGTTTATTAATGGACTAAACATAAAACAGGAACAAAAATTAGCAGGGAAAAGGTAAAGTTATCATCCCAGACTCAAGGCAGTTAGCACCATGGGCTCCAGGCTGCCGGGCCAGGCTTCTCCCCGTGGCGTCTGCACGACTCCGGTGTTTAAGCCAGAGCTCAAACTCCCCAGCCCAGCACACGGGACCCAGCCCTGTGCGCTCCCAACACCTGTGACTTTTCCTAACTTTGCATGGTCTCTGCCTGAGTAACTCTTCATAGCTAGTGTCACCTCTCAGAAACCCTCCACCCCTCTCGCCAGCACCCCTTGCCCGAAGTGCCTCTTCCAGTTCCCTCGAATCTCAGGCAAACCGTGGGGCTGCCCCGTGGGCTCCGGCTGGCTGCTCCTCTCCCTCACTAGCGACTCTCCTTGCCCTGCAGTGACGGCATGGGGGATTTAGGGGGCACATTGCGGCTTGCAATCAAGACTTCATTTCCCAGCCCCTTTCAGCTGGGCGTGGCCATGAGACCTCTCACTGGACAGAGGATGTAAGCCACCCATGGTGCTATGCAAAACTTCTTCAAAGCATCCCCAGAGGAAGGCGGGATGCCCTTCTTTTTTTCTGCCTGGAACAAGGATGGGATGGCTGTGGCTCAGCCACCATCTGAGACCCTGCCATGACCTTGGGAATGGAAACCACACCCAGCAGAGCTACAAGACGTAGCCAGGGTCTCTGACACTGCCCTGGGCCAGGCCTGCCTCAGACCGACCACCTCTGTATCTGACGTGGGAGACAATAAACTTTCATGTTTAGCCACTATTATTTTGAGAATTTTTATGATAACCAATCTAATCCAAATGAATCCCTTCTCCATCGCTGCCTGTGCCTCTCGTGTGAACCTGGCGCACACTGAGGGTTTCACTGACACTGGGGGTTTCGAAGGCACTTCTGCCTCTCTACGGGCCCCTCACCTCCTGCGCTGGCCATGCAGCTCGGTCTCCATGACCACAGCACTTACCCTGGCCTGCCCCCCTACAATGGCACAGAGAATAGCGTACTGTCAGGGACACTGTCTTTTACATTCCTGTCTCTGGAACCTGGCATAGGATATACGACTGTCTATAAAGACTGAAACCAGTTTTTCTGAAGAAAGCAGAGAATACCGAAGTATTTTCCACCTCTGGACTATTGACCCGATGAGCCAATCTAGGCCACGTCTGTGTCCGCCCACCAAGGGAGTGTTAGGAGGCTTCCCTGCCTCTCTCGGGCTCAGGTGTTTCACACACGCTTATGGACATTTGCCCCGGAAGACAGTTGAGGCTGTCGTCCTTCTCAAATGAGAACTGCAGCCTCACAAGAATTAAGAACCACTGCACTAGCTACTCGAGAGGCTGAGGTGGGAGGACTGTTTAAAGCCCGGAGTTCAAGACTGTGTCTTACAAAAAAAAAAAAAAAAAAGGACCACTGCATGGAGGAACTGCTGTTTTTTAAAAAAAGTCATTTTGTAAACCTTAAAAATTACTCCCTTGCTTTCCACTAAAGGATCTCAACATTTCTTTTGTAATGTGAGCATCTTTTAGAGATAACTTTCTCAACTTTTCCTGTCCTGGAAAGTCACAAATTATATTTATTAATAAATGTGCTTATGAATATTTTCCGTTACAAGATCCTTTTCAAAAAACTGGATTGTTAACTGGAGGAAATATTCTAGAAATATTTATAGTGTAAACAGAAGAAGCTATGATTAGAGCTGAAGCCTTCTTTTATCATTCAGCTTTAAGTACGAACCTGGCTCCAGAAGTGGACATATCCTAAACATTGGCTGGCGCTGGGCCTCCCACCCCTGTGCTGGGTTAGCCTTGATAACCAGTTTCCAGCAGCGTGGTCAGAGGTGGGTCATGTGTGTCGCCACCTCAGCAATGCCCCTCACTGCAGGGGATGAGCGTGTTCGTACTGGTGTCCCATCAATGACTGATGAACCGCTTTCGTCTTATTTCAAAAACAGGGATATTATATACATTTAATTTCATTCAATAAATCAATTCCGGTTAACTTACTCTTAGAAAACTTAGGAGGAAGCAAACATAAGAAATGAAAAAGTACTTAAAAGATTCGTGACATCCTAGAGAGGAACAAGAGTACACATGGCAATGAAGAGCTGTAAGTTAAATGTAACACAAGAAAAAAAGTGAAATGACTGTCATTTATTGCTGTGTCTATGCTTTCCTAGTATAGCAATAGTATTATATATAGCCACAAAGTGCCACCTTCTGGTTTAAAACTGTGAGACATCTCCTTTATTTCTTTTTAAATGCCATTTTATGGTGGACGTATAAAGCAACAGCAGCAGTTACAAAATGTTGTCTGAATAATTTTGAGAGCTCAAAACAAGGATCTGTGTATAGGCTGAATAAAAAGATGTTCAATTAATAGTGCACGTTGTGTAACTTTAACAAACATCTTCAGTTGGAATTTTTGTGTAAACCTTAATAGAGATGTGACTCACGGAGACCAAAAGTAAAATATCTTTTCCTTTTACAATTTGGTGAGGTGGTCTGCATTCTCGCAAACGATTTACAAAGTACAAGAAATGTTGCATGTGAGTACTAGGCATAAAATAGTCATTTTCTTACAGAAGGAGCAGCAGGGGGACAGGGAACCCAGTAGATGCCCCGCCGCCACCTTTCCCAAAGATGTACACCCCCAAGAACGGCAGTGGAGGCCTGGCAGCAAGCCGCCCTCACAATTCTTTTTGGTTGTTTAAAACACAAGCACTTTCTGACATTTCCCTCCCTGGCCTGTGAACTCCACCCGACTTGGCAGGATACAAGCCCATTTCCTCTTGCTTAGTTTTCCCCCTAGAATTATTTACAGGATGCCTACAGATACGGTACAAACTAGTATGAAATTAATGATAGTTTCCATTTCCAGACACGCTCCCGTGGTTAAATAAATATACCACGCCACTTCCGAAGAACGGTTCAAAGTTAAGGTGACACAGAAGCATTTGCATCCATAGCTGTAGGATCAGGCTTCTCGCTGGCTGAAGCGGAGTCGCTGACTCTGTCCTCGACAGTGGTGGGGGCCTTGGAACTGGGGGGCATCACATCCACAGTGAGTGAGGAGGCAGCGTCCGCCTTTGCAGTAGTCGTGACAGGGTCGGAGGGTGGGCTGCCGGTGGGTGGGAGGGAGGACAGCAGCTCTGCTGAGCTTGCTGCAGAAGAGCCCTCTCGAGCCAGAGGGAATGACGGGAGGAACTCAGATGGCATGGGGAGAGGTGCGATGCCAGGTAAGTTTCGGGGAGGCAAGGAAGAAAGAGGTGGCAAACCTAGGACAAAAATGGCAAAGATCACATATCCTCCCAGCACTAAAAGAGCAGTAGTCATCGTCAAATGATGATTTTTATTTGCATTTCATTAAGGAAACTGAAGCTGAGGAGAGACAACACAGATCATAACCTTTGCTTATCTCCTGCTGGAGGCCATGAGAAGGTTAAGGATTTCCTGCCGTGGCATCTGGCCAGGAACACACCTTCCTGGGCTTCTAGGCTCCATAAGACTCAGCCCAGCACTGGGAAACAAGCTCAGGGAAGAACCATCCTTCCAGTCGGGATGGACAGCCCACGTGGCAGGCACTGCAGCTACACTGGCTGTCGGGCGGGAGGACTCCCGTTCCCCTGGCAGGCTGCAAACTGGGGTACAGTTGCACTTGCCGGACAAGAAGAAGAAGAGACGTACCTATGTAGGGCTGTGGATTTTAGCCCCTCCACGAGCCTCCCCAGAGGCACCCAGGCTTAGGGTGAGCCCCATGTCTGACAACTATTTATATTACACTCGATGAGCTTATTCTGCTGATTTTAAAATGCCAAAGGTAGCAAAGAATATTACTTCAAGAAACAAAGGAAAGGCAGGTTGTAAAACACAGGTTCAGGGCGACCATGGGGCTGGTGAAACCCTTACTGCTCTTAGAGCCTGTCAAATTTGGGGGGGCGGACAGAGGAGTCAGAATACAGGCCCAGGAGACAAAACGGAGGGAGTGCTAAACCGTAACTGGGAGTTTGGGTTTATTAGTACTTCCTTTGTTTTTCAAACCCTTGCACTGAAAACTAAGAAGGTGAATGAATACATAGATGGTGCAGGTTACAAAAGGGACAATTATAACCTAGATAGAAATGTGACAATGTACACCAGGTGCTGTAAGATCACTCACTGGCAGCACTGATGGGCCAAACTACCGAGATACCCTACGAAAAGTCATTGCTCTCAAAGGTTAAGGGGATCTGGGTAGTCATTAACTGTACGAGCAGACCTGTGGGATGCTGCTGCCTCACCTCCAGTGTAGAAAATCTGAGTGTGGACAATTGGAATATCTGCTGTCGTAGCTATCTCCAGCTAAAATTTCTCAGTTTTGATTATAAAAACATCTGTTAATAACAGAGAATATTAATCAAATAACAAGCCCAGCCGGCTGAGCAGGGATGTCAGTTTTGTGCCCTCAGTTTCTGGGCCTGGGCTACCACGGCTTCTCCCCTGGTGGCAGCTACCCCAAATAATACCAGGGAATTCATTCGCCTCCCTTGGGCGAACTGAACATCTCCACCAAAGCCAGGGCAGCACCACGCCCTCCACCTTATTGCTACACTTGGCCTTCCCGGGGCTCGAGCTGTCAGCGGGTGGGGAGAGGGAGAGGAGGAGGTGGAGGAGGAGGAGAGGCGGACAGGCAGAAGAGAATCACAAAGACTTTCTTCTTTCTGCTTAAGCTTTGCAAACAAAAAAAAGATGAATATTTATTTGAAGTAGCTGAAATGTGTTAAACTAATTCGCCCTTTCTAGAAAAAACTGAAATAGAGGACTGGCTTTCCTGAATGAAGCTTTTTATTAGAGAGAGTGCCCTAGGGTAAGATCTGTGACGTACCCGGATTCACGAGTTCTGGTAAGCCAACCCCTGGCACGATGTGTGGTGTCGGGAGGTTGAGGTTGAGGCTGAGGTTGGGGAGGTTGGGGAGGTTAGGCAGCCCTGCTGGTAAAGGCATCAGACCTGAACAGAAGGCAGAAAAGAACAAAAGGTAAATCTTTTTACCTGGGGAAGAAATAAATCCTTGTGTATCGAAAACAACAGAGTCTCTCTCAAAAGTGAGAGTACCAGAACCCCACCTAATGTGTGGCAGTTTTATATCATAATCACACTGACAACAACAAAATCTCACTTAACTGAAATATATTTCTATACCTAAGTGATTAGATGGATTAGGTGGCTAAATGGTTAAAATAAATAATGGTCCTAACACTCTGGAACAAGAATGGAGAAAAGACTTATTTCAGTAAATATGGTAGTGAATGGAACTGAATTTTTGATGGTTGAGGTTTACAGTCTCTTTGGCTTTCTTTTTAAATTTTTTATTCTGAAATAACTGCAGATTTATAGTTGCAAAAGTAGTTAAAAGAATCCCCACATGTTCACATTTTACCGCCCTTGCTCCATCGTTCTCAGTGTGTACACTCTTGGTTCATGGCATAATATGCTTGTATAATGACATCTTTAGCCGAACAATTAAAGGCCTTCACAATGGAAGCGCATTTGATCACTGCAATAATATTTGATTATCAGCTGGATAAAGGGACTTGGTCTTCACTGGGACTACTAAGAGAAATACACAAAAGTTTACATTAGAGCTACTGAAGACTCGAATAAGGAGTGCTCTTTTCCAGGACATGTCTGTTCGCATGAACAACTATCAGAGAGAATGGACTTTTACACACTCCTTATTCCTGGCTCATGCTGAATTGTGGGAGTGGGGGTGGTAGCTGGCCAAGTGGAAGGAGCCCTAGGCTCGGCAGCTCACTAGCTAGTAACTAACATCTGTTTCCTTGTCTACTAAGGAGAACTGCCACTTGCTCTCATTTATCACAAAGTTACTGCAGAGATAAAATGAGATTAAAAGACATAAAAGTCACCACATAAGTGTAAGATTTTTTTCATTTTTTAGAAACTGAGTTATTTATTTTTTTGTGACAATGTCACTTGCCAATTTTTCCATTGGTTTTTAAGATACAAGTATTAGTAATGTTATTATCATTAGCCACATCTCTAGTCCCCGGCTGCTTACCTGGTAATGTAGTAGCTGGGTTCATTGGTGGCACAGAAGTGAGGGACTGGTTTACTGGTGGCAATAATGGTACTGTTGGTACACCTAAAATAAAAGCACAGTCTTCTATTTCTAACAAATTCAGTTGACAAAGAATGAACAGACTAGATTAGGGCAAGCTTCACCCCCGCCCCCACCCCGACCCCCACGGTCAGATCTCCGTTTGGTCCTACTGCTGGCTGCATCACTGACTGTATACCACCCTTGACAGCAGATCCACTGACTCGGCCCATGGCCCTTAACAGAGGCTGTCATCAGAGCCTGGGCCGAGAGGGCAGTCTCACCCCCAGCAAGGCCACTGGACTAGAGGTTTGTACCTGATCAAAGCTGGTTGGATTAGATTTGGAAATAGGACACAAGGATTCTAGTCAATCTCTACTGGGCTCCTGAACTAAGATGCTATGTAAACCTGGGGTTGCCAGGGGGCCATGTGCCCTGTGAAACGTGAATGCTGGTCTGTGAAAGAGGAGAATGGCACAGACGGCCTGAAAGAGACAAAAGGGCACATGGACCACTGGAAATGCAGAGAATGACTTGGATTCCTGAATCTCCACTTCCTTTTGACCTTAGGTTCTGAGACAGTCCTTTGAAGTCTATCTAACACATTCCCATTCGTAGTGATGTTAGCTGGTCCAGCAGGAGGTTTTGCTGATGTCAAAACAATAGTAATACTGCACATATTCTAGATTTTGTCTTACAGAGATCTGCTTAAATATGGTAGCAAGCATAAAATTGTGCCTAAAAGTATAAACCAACCATTTTCAGTCTTTTATTTATTCATGTATCTGCTTTTCTGCAGTAATCAGAGGCATGCAACAGTTAAAAAAAAGAAGAAGAAGAAGAAGAAAAAAGGCCTGGCTGAAGCATTGGCAAATGCTCCACTGGATCCCAGACTGCATAATTTCACTCAGATATCAGAAACTGTTTTCTATTCTATATCAAATTGTTAGTTATTGTGTGCTTTGTTAAGTGGTCACATACAATAGCAATGTTACAACTTTTTAGTATTTTTGTCTTTGAATCTTGGTTTTAAGAAAATAAAGGCAGCTTGGATTGGCTAGCAAATTTCCTCTATTTTCTAATTAAGTCTTTCACATGAGTTTCTTTTTATTCTTAAAGAGTAGCTACATTCACAGTCTCAAAAAAATAACTGACTGAATCAAAGTCAAGAATTCTAAATGTAGGGCAGACAATGGGTTTCATGGGGTCATGAAGCTCCTAAAACTGCATATAACAATATTGGGGAAAGGGTCCTTTGTTTTCATCAGATTCTCAAAGATGTTGGATGGATAGTTGGTGTGTTCATTCAGTCAAGTTTTTAGGGCACCTATTACATGTCAGACATTGTTCTGAGAACTGAGGCACTTTACAGTGTGAAGAAAACAGAAATCACCTTCAGGAAATTTATGTCTAATGAGGGACAGGAAAAGGGAAAGAGAAAGATATCAAACAAATGAAATGTATAGCATGTAAAATGGTCATATGTTCTCTGCAGGAAAATCAAGAAAGGAAGTGGAATAGGGAGCGTGAGGGGTACCAAAAAGGTCGTACTGATCAATGCCATTTCAAAATGGGATATCCGTTTTCTAAAAATTTCATAATCCCCAAATTTTCAAATCTACAAAGAAATGTTTTAAAAATATGCTTTTATATCTCTACAAATACTTGTTTGGACTACTTGGCAAGCAATATAATAAAAAGTAAAAATGAAAAAATAAATGCCCAAAGAAAAGTTGTTTCTCATGTGTTATGATGCCAGAACATTTAGTCTTTTTAAATGGATTTACTCAAAAGTGAAAATGTAGGCCAGGCGCGGTGGCTCATGCCTGTAATCCTAGCACTCTGGGAGGCTGAGGCGGGCGGATTGTTTGAGCTCAGGAGTTCGAAACCAGCCTGAGCAAGAGCGAGACCCCGTCTCTACCAAAAATAGAAAGAAATTAATTGGACAGCTAAAAATATATAGAAAAAATTAGCCGGGCATGGTGGCGCATGCCTGTTATCCCAGCTACTTGGGAGGCTGAGGCAGAAGGATTGCTTGAGCCCAGGAGGGTGAGGTTGCTGTGAGCTAGGCTGATGCCATGGCACTCACTCTAGCCCGGGCAAAAGAGTGAGACTCTGTCTCAAAAAAAAAAAAAAAAAAGTGAAAATGTCAATTTCTGTCAGTTCTTTTGAGTAATTATTGCTTTATTTACATTTCTGTCCTTAATATTCAACAAGCCATTTCTCTGCAGTGTAATAAGTAAGGGATCTCGGTGCATGTGCGTATAAAACAATATAAGTGTAACTACAATAATGAGGGAAGATTTAAAATGTCAAAGAGAAGCTGGGACTTGAAGAGGGATGTCAGCTATCTCCTACCATCAGAAGAGCTGTCCTACAATATGTGGAACACTCTTACTCTAAAATAAGTAAGAGTGATTCAGACAGAGAAAGGGCTGCTGCCTTGGGAAGTGCCCCGATCCACCTTTAGTCAGTCTACTCAGGAATAAACTAGAGGACTACTTGATGAAATGTAAGCAAGAAATCATAATATCATAAAAAGGACTCATACACTGCCTGAATGAAACTCTAAGATACCTTCCAACTGTGCCTATGATTAGATACTGATGACATTAATATTTAACTTCATCTAGAAAATGTTCTAAAACTAGATTGTGGTGATAACTGCACAACTCCATAAATGTCCTAAAAATTATTGAGTTGTATATTTATACTGAGTTAATTTTATGGTATGTAAATTATACATCAATAAATCCAGAAAAAAAAAAAAACAGCAAAGAAGGCGTGGGGAGGTACATCACCATATTGATAACTGGTAAAGCGGGGGGAGGGGGTTCATTATACTATTCCATCAGTTTTGTGTATGTTTGAAATTTTAAATTTCACCTAGAACACATCTTTGGGAAATTAAACCAATACTCTGAAAAGTGCTAGAATTGAAACATCAGGAACCAACTCCAGACACTATGCTGTTAACCTTACTATTGCATCTTGGTGGTCCATCCCAGAACAAAGTGGGGTATAAGCAAAATTTGAACGAAAACATTTAAAAGAGCTTAAGAATAAAAGCTGAACCAAATCATGTCAGCATTTCATTCACTTATTCAGCATTTACTGAGTGCAAAATACCTTGGCATGATGAAGAATGAAAAAGAAGACAGGAGATTAGAAAACGGAAAGGGAAAAATAAAATCCACCAGCATACCAAGTTAAGAACTATATCATGACCCAGTAATTCCACTCCTAGGTATATAAGCAAGAGAAATGAGAACATATATCCACATAAAATTTTGTATGCAAATGTTCACAGCAGCATTATTCCTAAGAGCCAGAAAGTAGAAATAACCTAAATGTCCTTCAACTGATAAATGGATAAACAAAATGTGGTATATCCATACAATGGAACATTATTTAGCAATAAAAAGCAATGAAGTATTACTACGTTATACAACATGAATAAGCCTTGAAAACATGCTCAGTGAAAGAAGCCAGTCACAAATGACCACACATAATGTGTGAAATATCCACATTAGGCAAATCCATAGAGACGGAAAGTAGATTAGTAGTAGTTGCCTACACCTACCTGGAGAGCTGGGGAAAAAACAGAATGACCTTCTGGGATAATGAAATATTGTAAAATTGACTGAGGTGTTGGTTGTACAACTCTGCAAATCTACTATAAACCACTGAACTGTATACTGTAAATTGGTAAAGTGTATGGTATGTACATTATATCTCAATAAAGCTGTCAAAAAAAACCCTAAAACAAAAAGGACTACATGAGGTAGAACAAGGAATAAAGAATAAGAGGGAGACAGGCGCATGTCCCCCAAGCGAGACTGAGCCCCTGAGAAAGGAATGCATTTTGCTCACTTTTGTAGCCCCAGAGCCTACTGCCTCAGAAATATGCAAACACTTGTTGAGTAAATAGAACTAGAGGCCTTCATTGATTTTGTCACTTGATTAAAAGAAAGCAGATTGAAAAGAGAATGTATTTTTCTGCACACCTGTACTGAGAACATTACCAACAGCTGGTGGAGTTGAGCTAATGGAAAGTCCAGACAGACTCTGTTCAAGCCCTGTAGTTCCTGGTGGTGACAAAGCTGGGGGATTAACTGAGGACAGCTGGACCTTCCAGAAAAAGAAAAAAAAAAAAAAAAAGAAAAGAAAATTACTTAAGTTTATGTAAAAGAAAAATAAATATTGGCTCTCACCTGCCCTACAGATACATATTTGGATCATATACGAGCTGTCAAAAGTTTCATCTGGCACTTCCGCCTCAGACACTCCTTCCCAATTTTGATACATGCCAGGGACCATGTACTTGTAAACATCTCTCTATCCTGTCACTTACAGTCTCTGGACACACGGCTTCTACTCCCAGTCGCAGACACTACTCTACCTACTTCCACACTAGGAGAGATTCTACTCTCCCCTCTCTCCTAGTCACCCAGAAATCATTTTATTCAACCCTCTTTTTTTTTTCAATGAGACAGGGTCTCACTATATTGCCCAGGCTGGTCTTGAACTCCTGGCTTCAAGTGATCTCTTGTCTTGGCCTCCCAAAGTGCTGGGATTATAGGCATGAGCCACTGCACCCAGCTCGTATTTGGTTTTTTATTTAGTTGTGTAGACAAGAGTTGACTGTCCTGTGATGTCTTTGTAAGCAACATTTAAAAACTGCTCAAATATCTCTTATTCCTTAAAAAGCCTCAATGTGATCCTGCAATAGCCCCTTCCCTCCCCCCACGTCACCCCTACACACCCAGCTCTCCTTGCTTTCTTAGTCAAGTTGTCTGAAGTAGGAAGTGCCAGCTGGCGTCACCTTAACACTCATCATTCACTCTGGTTCCTGTAACTTGGTATTTGCACCCTATCAAGTCTCCGAAATCGCTCATCCAGGACATGTTTTTTCACTCCTTTCACTTGACTTCTCTGCAGTACCTGACATGGCTAACTATGCCCCTTTTCCGGAAGCTTTGTTTTCTTTTGGACTTCTCCTATGCTTCCCTTGTTGGATCCACTTTCTCTGCCCATCCAGATTTTCAAGATTCTGACTCCAGTCCTCTGACTCACTCAGACCCAATCCTTCCACAGTTTTTATCAACACCCACTGGGTTAAATTATCCTCTCTTTCCTGATGATTCCTACATCTGCATCTCCAGCCCTGTCCTCTTTCCTATAGCCCAGACTCATATATCTACCCTCCAACTGGATATCATACAGTGACCTCAATAGCATTATCAATACTTAACTCATCATCTGCCCTATCTCAATTAGTGTCACCACCATATACATCAACACACTTGACTTGTTTTGGTGAAAATTATAAGACATAATCAGGCAGTGAAGTTATCGTACCTCTGTAAATCCATCTTTAAGAGGAGTAATAGGTGTCATTTGTCCTGGAAGAGAAATTTTCTTTCCTTCTTCAAATGGGCGTGTAGGTATTCGATGCAAATAACCATATCCAATGCCACATCCTAGGCTGTAAAAACATTTTTGTCTTAAAGTTGTTATCGATTGTGGTTTACATTTCTTTGAGGTTTTGAAATATAAAAACAAACGAATTTCCATTCTTTTAAATAATGTTATCTTAATCTTATCAGAGGTCTCTCTGCGCACCCCATATGAAATAGCACCCTTCCTTCCACCATGAACACTATCCTCACCCTTTTATTTATCACTATCCAACATATTGCATATTTATTTATTGTCTGTCTCCCCCAATAAAATGTTAAGGTCTTTAAGGGCAGAGACCTTGTTTGTTTATTATTAGTATTTCTTGGCACAAGGGAGACACTTGATAATCATTTCTGAATGAACGCCACACATACAGCCTTTCCACTGAAGAGCTCTACGCATGCCTGTGTGATGATACAATTTACACATCCCACAGTTCTCTTTCGGAACCTGACATAAACAGTCATGTTATGTTTAATCCAGGTTCTTTCTATACCTCATCCTCTGCCACTGGAGGCATTTGTGTAGTAAGATGCGATCGCATTGCTTCTTTCTACAGTCTGATGAACTCTCAGCACTCCTTTCTCCTTCCTCCCTTTGGGGAATTACTTCTCTGCTGGTGGGGCTGTCAGTCAGGGTACTTGCCCTGCCCAAAGCTCAGGGCCAAAGCCAGGCCAATCAACCTCTCTTGCCCAGGGCTGCAAATCTTGGGAAACAGGAAAACCAAAAATGGCTTTATCCTTCCAGTAGAATGCTGATGAAATTGCCAGTTAGTTCTTCCTATCTAAATCCTTAGAGGTGTTCTGAGTCCTGCCCTTTCCATATCTTTAGTTGTTTCTTTGCTTATATGAGCTGTTCCACATCAGTTAAGTATGTATCTGTTTATGACGGGGACAGCTGGTTTTTACTGTTTGGAACTAAAAATCCCTGCTGATACAATATCACATTTCCACCGCTCAAGGTATATCCAACTTCCTAACCATGGTATTTAAGGCCTACAATCAGGTTCCAACTATGTTTTCATCATGACGTCTTTCATTTCCCGAACTACTTGACACTTTCCCTTGGCAAGGCATCTATTATTTCCATGGGTAGCACCATCACCAACAGCGGGCAGTGGCCAACTTCAGCTCCTCTTTATTCAAATCTGACTTGTACAATGATGCTTCATCTCACAACATTACTTGTTCTTTCTTCCCTCACCATCAAAACTATAATTCTCACTGGACTAGATCTCAGATAGATTTAGAGAAAGGAAGTAAGATTAAATAATTTTTTTTTTTTTGAGACACAGTCTCACTCTGTTGCGTGGGCTAGAGTGCCATGATGTCAGCCTAGCTCACAGCAACCCCAAACACCCGGGCTTAAGCAATCCTCCTGCCTCAGCTTCCCAAGTAGCTAGGACTATAGGCGTGTGCCACCACACTGCCTATTTTTTTTCTTCTATTTTTAGGTGTCTGGCTAATTTTTTCTATTTTTAGTAGAGACAGGGTCTCACTCTTGCTCAGGCTAGTCTCGAACTCCTGACCTCAAGCGATCCTCCCCTCTCCCAGAGTGCTTACAATTACAGGTGTGAGCCACCGTGCCCGGCCTAGATTAAGTAATTTATACTGATTGATGGTAGTTACATTTTAAAACAAGGTGCTTATTAATCAAAATAACTAAGTGGTGGTACAGAAGGCACTAGAGGACAACAGCAGGACCCTCTGCAAACTTAAAGATAGCCTAAAAATGAAATTAAGAGAAATATGACGTAATGAATGAAATGTGGTTGGAATAAAAACAGGCATGGAAATGCCAAAGGCATGGTCAGAGGCAGACTCAGGAAAATGTTCTGTATGGGCCTGTCTTAAGCAATGGCTATCAATGGTAATAAACCACACCAAAAGGAAAAATATCTTTCAAAGAAAAGGAATAATTGCCACAAATCTAGAAAAGAAGGGCTCCAAAAACAAGAATATAGCAGTATTCAGCATTTGGTGAACATAATTAAAAATGAAAGAATGAGCAATATTCTTTGCTGTTGGACTTCACTGTCCAAAGAATCTCTTCCTTGCACTTTGATTCTATTACATCACCAAGTGCTCTTGTGGTACTATCTGACTTGAATATTCTTCTAATTGGAGAGGGGGTATTTTTCTATAGTAAACTGATATGGCAGCTTCTTTGCAAATTTAGTTTATGTGAGGCAATCCCTCCAAAATGAATAAATTTTGAATGCCTTGAGAAGATCATATTTCTGGGTATTTATAAACCTGGACAATGAACAACGATAACTTGAGTACTGCCCTAGACAGACCAGATTCTTAGATGACACCCCTATTCTTACTTTTCTCAAATTGCGACCAGTTAGAAATCTTGGGGTCAAACACATTCAGCTAAAGAATCTCAAATAGCGTGACTAAAGATACTATGAGCAAATGGAGGCTTTTCTAGCCTGCAGTAATTAAGTCATCCTTTTCCCAGCATGGGCTGGAACTTTTACAAAACACTTGTAAAGTTTCCAAATCCTAGGCTTTTCTATAATTATAGTACATGCTCAATAATTCTTCAAATAAAGAAATGCTGCTACGTCTTTGATCAGTAAAGAAAAGGACCACAGGATATATACCGTATTCCTTAGATATGTGCTTTAAAAAAAAAAAAAATTATTGGTTTCAATAGTCTAGGTTGGCCCTTTCCTTTTTCAAAATAAAAACAATGTTTATAACATATCTGATGGTAAATTTAAACAGCCATAACTTAGTCTAAAAAATGACCTTACCTGCCTTCTCCACCCCATGCAGAATTTGGTGTAATAACCACTTCTCGACAGTTATCAGTGTCTGTGTTGTACACATAAAGTTTCAGTGGTTTTGCTTCATGTGTTTCAACAAGGCTGAATAGATCTTCAGACTGCAACAGTATCATAGAAGAAAAATGTTTTTATGTTACTGTACTTTAGAAGAGTGGGTCTCAAACCTGGCTACTATCAGAATCACCTAGGGAACATTTCAAAAAAAAACACCAAAAAAACCAAACACAACACAGGAGTTCAAGACCAGCCTGAGCAAGAGCGAGACCCTGTCTCTACTAAAAACAGAAACAATTAGCCAGGCATGGTGGTATGCATCTATAGTCCCAGCTACTTGAGAGGATTGCTTGAGCCCAGGAATTTGAGGTTGCTGTGAGCTAGGCTGACACCATGGCACTCTAGCACAGGCGACAGAGTAAGATTCTGTTTCAAAAAAAAAAACAGATTCTGGACCCTGTCCGAGACATAAAAGTCATTTCTAAAAACTGATATTCCAAGCAAGGTTTAATTCAATATGGTAATTCAAGCAAGGCCTACTATGTACAAGACCTTGTGCCCAGTTCCATAAGACCTAGTCAGCATTCTTTTTTTTTTTTTTCTATTTCAGTTGCCTGGCTAATTTCTTTCTATTGAGACGGGGTCTTGCTCTTGCTGAGGCTGGTCTCGAACTCATGACCTCAAGCCATCCTCCTGTGTTGGTCTCCCAGAATGCTAGGATTACAGGCGTGAGCCACCATGCCTGGCCTAGTCAGCATTCTTAATAAAACCCTTCTACATCCAAGTTCTACACATTCTGCTTTTACTCTCCATTATTGAGACCTACTTATCCTGGCACCTTATTTTTCTCTCATTTTCATTTATTTATTTAAAGGCTAGTTAAGTGCAGTAGTGAGAAGGGGGGAAAAGAGTAGAATAAGGAGTTCAATCTGTAACTGACTATGAACAATCAATTGAGGTATTTTTTCTCATTTTTGATTTAGCGATATATATCTTCTCCTAATGGATAAATCATTAGAAAAATAGTTCTTAAGCTTCTATATTTCCTTCTCTTCCTCAAGTTTTTAAATTGATCCATACTTAAAAAGCAATGAATGCTGATTTTCAGAAACTAAAAGCAGCTTAATAATAATAATATCCTCATTTTTGATTTAGCAATGTATACTTTTACTAGCTAACAGACAAGGAAAAGGACCTGGCTAATACAACTGAGCTGATTTTGCCACCTGAGCAAAAAGAGGAAGAGAAAATGAAATCAATGACCAATTGAAAAATGAGAATTTGCTTTGGTTTCGAGTTATGTAAGAGATTTCTGAACATCATACACAAAATCTGTGCAATTGCTACACAGTATGTTTTTTTCTTCACAGCTATATCTAATAAGACATCTCCCAGATGTTCCATTTAAAATCCTGTGGCATAAGCTATCTTGATCAGCAAAGACCAAAATTTCAACTCTAAATGCAAAGTATGCAAATATTCATCTGAACTCAAACATCAATGAGAAAATGTTAAATAATTTTCATTATTAATAAATACACTAATTACCTCATTCATAACCGTATCTGCTCCAATGATATAATCACTGTGAGGTCTAAGACCTGCCAGTGCTGCAGGAGAATTTGATTCCACTTCCTAGGATGACACAAAAACATACCCTAAATATACAAAATAATCTTCCAAGTTTTATATTCATAGTTCTTAATTACAGTGATTTTAAAAACCTCTACATTTCTAACTGTCTTGTTAGTGATGTCAGAAACTATAGAATATATGTATTTAAAACTTTTTTTTTTTTTTTTGAGACAGAGTCTCACTTTGTTGCCCTGGCTAGAGTGAGTGCCATGGCGTCATAGGTCACAGCAACCTCAAATTCCTGGGCTCAAGCAATCCTACTGTCTCAGCCTCCCAAGTAGCTGGGACTACAGGCATGCGCCACCATGCCCGGCTAATTTTTTCTATATATTTTTTAGCTGTCCAATTAATTTCTTTCTATTTTTGGTAGAGACGGGGTCTCGCTCTTGCTCAGGCTGGTCTCGAACTCCTGAGCTCAAACAATCCGCCCGCCTCGGCCTCCCAGAGTGCTAGGATTACAGGCGTGAGCCACCACGCCCGGCCTGTATTTGAAACTTTTAAGCATAATAAATTAAATATTTATTTAATAAAAATTTAAAATATTTCTGTAGCTATCTCACATATCTTTGCCTTATGGATAAATCATTAGAAAAATAGTTCTTAAGCTTCTGTATATTCTTCTCTTCGTTAAGCTTTTAAATTGATCCATATTTAAAAAGCAATGCATGCTGATTTTCAGAAACTAAAAGCAGATTGATAATAACACCCTTATAATCTCACCAAACTGGAGACAATCACTGTTAAAATACCTTTTTACATTGCTTCTTGAGCTGCAAGTAACAGTTCACAATTGATACCTACCAACACATGCCACACGTTTTCATTTGCCCCGTCAAAGCTGCAGAAACGAATGCTCACACCCAATAAGCCCTGGCCGCCCCACATGTTACTTGGTGTGACTGAGGTCTCTCGCAGCTCCAGTGTTTTGCTGCTATAGATAAGCATTTTTACAGGCTTTTCAACATTTGCTTTCAGTAGATCCTTAAGAGTGTCATTGTCTTTATTCTGTGAACACAGAATACACATTCCTTAATAAATAAAAATGTAATGTTAATTTACCTTAAGCATCCTATGGCCCTATAAGAGTAATATTAATAATCAACATAAACAAAATATTCAATAGGCAAAGGTTTCATTAACATTTAAATATTCCTCCATGTAAAAGAATGTTAAGAAATTAAGAACTCCTATGTTAGCAACAACTTCAAACTGACTTTTTCTAATAGCTGACTGTTGATTATGGAATTTGCAACCCAACATTATTTAGAGTGATGGAGGACTTCGGTGATCAAAACCAAAATATGCCATAAGAAGTAACATAACTAACAAAGTTGTGATGACTTTGACTTAAAAATCTAAAACATTTACTGGGGTTAAAGTTTAATTTTGGACTCTACTTCTAAATACATATTTTATTATTTATTAGTAGTTGGAAGGAAAAGAAAATGGAAATAGTATGTTAAATATTTCATTACATAAATGAATAAAGGCCATTATGCTAGAGACATTGAAAAGTAATGAGCAAAAACTTAAGACTGTTATGAAAAATAAACCAACCAAGTAGCTACTGTCATAAAAATTTTCTTTGCTGAGATGATATAATTTCCTTCCTATAGGACTTTACTATGGGAAAACTGAAAATAATTATAAATAGTGGTTTTAATTCCACATTTTGGAGCATAACTCTCTGGCTAGTTCTAATAAAATTATTTATACATCATGAAACTTAGCTCCAAGAAAATTGGCAAGTTATTTGAGAATGAGTCTTTTTTAATCCATTTGTCAACAACCTACAGAAATGTGACATCTTTAAATTGCTTTAGATGTCTTTTTTGATTCTACTGAGAGTAAGCATAAAAAAAAATAAATAAAAAGTAATCTTTTTCATCTTATTTCCTTTGGCTGATAAAAATTAAATATTTAACATATAAAATAAAGGTCTCCAGTGATTCTACTCCCCTAAGATAATCACTGGAGCATAAGGTATTAGTATTCTAGATTTGACATTTTAATGTTTACTAACACATGATTACTTCCACAAACTGGCATCATACTCTATACAATGTCTGTAACTAGGAAACATCATCCCAGAAAATCTGAAAAATTCCATTTTCAAAAGATTACAAAATACTATAGACAAAACAAAAAGCTGAACTTACTAATCTCGAACCGTTAATAGAAACAATAAAATCAAAGAAAGGTTCCAGTCCGGCTCTATGTCCTGGGGAATTTTCTTGTACCTGTAAAAACAAAAATGCCAAAATTAAAAAATGCAAAGTTTAATTAAAAATTGCAAGCTAGATTTCTATAGCTACCTCTTTTTTGGAAAATAGATTAATTTCATTGATAATGAAATGTAGGTACATGCTAGTTTTCTCATTTCTCTTCATCTTTCCCAGACAATGCCCTTCCAGCTCCCTAAATTCTACCCATTCTTTAAGTTCATCTCTTCTAGGAGGCTTTCCCTCTATGCTTCTATTTCCACACCACCTTCTCCTTTTTTTTTGGAGGGGGCTAATCCTCCCAGCAATTAGAATATGATACAGCAGACAGTTAATCATTACAACTGAGCCATAAATTAAAGCATTTATTCCTTGACTACTACTAGCAAAGCACCACTACTACTTACAAAGCTAAGATAGGAACACAGTTGCTGACATCAAGACATTTCGAGAAACAGGCGAGAGGAGGAAGGGGAGATGGACACTCTAATCCATGTAATACAAGACCAGACAGGTTAAGGGCTATAATGGAAATACAGAGTTCTACGGGGAAGATTAATCCTGACTGAAGAAGCATCACAGAAAAAAAATGATACTTGAATAGTGCTTTAAAAAGAGGAGAAAACTTTCAAAGATGAAGATGGATAAAGGGATAAGGAAGGACATCTGAAAGTAGATGAAATAATATGAGTAAACACTCAGAAGCAGAAGTCTGAAGAATGAGGACCATATGTGTAGCTAGACAACAGAGTAGTGTGGATGGATGTATACAATTATAGGTTTTGAAAACCAGAATTGACCCAGAAATTATCTAATCCAGGGGATCTTAAATTGAGGTCTGTGGATGACTTCAGGGAATACTGCAGCTCCTGAAATTACACGCAATCTTTTGAATGAAGCAATCTTTTGTATGAATAAGCAGTTTTCAGGGTGGCTTTTATCAGATTCTCAAAGGGTTTCTCTATGACTCAAAGAAGGTTTAAAAGCCACTGCCACTAATTTTGTGCAATTCCTTCATTTTATAGGTGAAAAAACCATCTTGTGACTTGGCTATGGTGCCATAGCTAGTTAGTGATGGAATGAAACTCAAAAGTACATCTTGAAATTAATAGTCCAGTTAGAAGACTGGGAAGAAAGGATAGAGCTAGATTTATACGCCTTTAAATGAAAGATTAAGATTACTTAGCTTCTCAACAACTCAAATGTTTAGTATCCAAAATTTAAATGCATTAAAATTAACTATCAAATTTTCTGAATTTACAGTAGTAAAATATTAGCAGCTAGTAATAGTAGAAATATGACCCAAAAAAGAAAAAAGTAAATACAATCCACTTTGCATTTCCTTTTCCAAAATATTTTCTTAACAGTCTAAGGAATTTTTATTCTGTTTTATGTTATTAAGTACTGTCAAAACTATCCCACTAAAAAGTTTGCATTGATATTTATAAGCTGATTTCCTATAATAGTCCAAACAGTTCTAATACTCAATTTTGAAGCTATGCAAATAATAAATACACACATTCGACCAACCATACATAAAGCTGTTGCTATTTACAAAGTAACAAATCATTTTAATTCTTTCAAAATGAAACCCAGATTGTTCCCAAAATGCATCCCTCTACTGCCAATGTCAATCAGAATCATTCATTACTTCTTGTTACCTTTTATTTATGTAAGCCAAATTATACTATTATTGTCTCTGAAGAAGTAAAACTAAGAGTTACTCTTTTGTCACAGTAAAGAATAGTTACATCAATTATAAAGATGGTTCAACATTTAACTTACTAAAACTGTTTGATCTTGCTTTATGTAAATTTTCCTACAAATGTGGGATTAAATCATTTTGGGGGGATTGGAGGGACAGCGTCTTGAGTGCAGTGGTGCCACCATATTTCACTGCAATCTCAAACTCATGGGCTCAAGTGTCCTCCCAGCCTCCCAAGGGACTACAGGTGCATACCACCATGCCCAGCTAATTATTTTTATTTTTTGTAGAGACCAAGTGTCACTCTTGCTCAGGCTGGTCTCAAACTCCTGGCCTCAAGTGATCCTCCTGCTTCAGCATCCCAAAGTACTAAGATTACATGAGTGAGCCATAGCACCCAGCCCTACATCATTTTCTTAAATTAAGTAAGTTAAATATCAAGGGATTTATTATTTAAAGGTGTTTGCTCTAATAAAAATCAGTACATATTGTGCTTGGTTTCTTTACAGTCAGTTTTCTTAAATGGGGGTTATTTCATATTCTATATATTATCAAATAAAATGTATAGAATCCAAAATAGCAGACAGATTTCTCCTCTAATGGCAACTCTGAAAGGTAAGTAGTGGCTGTCTGGAGTTATTATAAGAAAAGTGAGGTCAAGGCCAGATGTGGTGGCTCATGCCTGTGCTGTAATCCTAGGACTTTGGGAGGCCAAGGTGGGAGGATTGCTTGAGGTCAGGAGTTCGAGACCAGCCTCAGCAAGAGTGAGACCCCATCTCTACTAAAAAAAAAAAAAGAAAGAAAGAAAGAAAGAAATTAGCCGGGCAACTAAAAAAATATTAAAAAATTAGCTGGGTGTGGTGGCACACCCCTTTAGTCCCAGCTACTTGGGAGGCTGAGGCAGGAGGATCACTTGAGCCCAGGAGTTTGAGGTTGCTGTCAGCTAAGATCCCCGGCAACAGAGCGAGATTCTGTCTAAAAAAAAAAAGTAAGGTCAAATCACAGCTAGCTGGGAAAACAAGTCAGATCCACTAGGTGTGAAATGCCTATTAGGTGGTTATCAATTAGATGTGAAACACCTCAGGTGAAGGGGATAAACAGCACAGATCCTTAGGCGCTCCCTCAGAGTGGAGTTTCTGATTTAATAGGGTCCCCAACAAATCATCTGATTCTCTGAATCTGAATGTTTCCAAATTACCACTAATAGCATTTTATCTAAAACCCAACTAGTTTATTGATCAATTTCAAACTTCTCTGCTGAGGCTGTTAAAATTTTACCTTTTAGTTAAAAAGGGATAAAGACAGCACTTTTGTATTGTCATCACTAACTTAGAAAGCTGATCCTACACAGATTCTTATCATGCCATCTTCTGAGTATAAAGTTTAAGCTATTTGCTTGAAACGGAAAGTTTCCAATATCAGAAGTATCCTTTCTTATAACTCAAAAAGGATCCAATAGCTGAGTTTAAATTCTAAAATAAACTTAATCCCTTCCCTACTCTATTTTTCCTTTTCATTTGCTACAAACATCAATCTCCTCTCCGTTTCTAATGAACCTTGAAATTAATTTCTTTCTCAAATTTATTTACATCATTAGTACCAGCACAATTATGGCAAGTAGCTATCTTAATTACTGCTAGAGAACCAGCAGAGGGCGCTCTACAAAATGCTCTCTTTGACCCTAATATACTTAAAGGAAATTTCCTACATTTCATAGCACGGAAAATAAGATCTACAACACAGCTCCCCAACTAAACATCCACCCAAGTATGTTTCTCTTGCAATATTATCCGCTGACAAGAATCTCTTAGGTACCTAATCTTTCAAGTGTCACATTACCACTTCAATACTGTCTGCCCCTGGAGATCTCTAGATTGTTCATTTATCTTCTGTTTCCTTCAAACCATCTAAATTAAAAAGTCCCTATATACTTGACTCCATAGGCCATTTAACATTTACTATTGGGCCAAAACCACAGCAATTTAAGATGAATAGGTTAAATTTTTATGTTTAATAGTTAAAGATTTTATAAAAAATGTACAGTGAGAGCCAGATCAGTCTGGGCTCAAGGGATCCTCCTGCTTTAGCCTCCCAAATAGCTGGGACTACAGACGCATGCCACCACACCCAGTTAATTTTTCTTTTCTTTTTGTGTGTGTGTGGGGGCAGTCTCCCTGTGTTGCTCAGGCTAGTCTTGAACTCCTGGCCTCAAGTGATCCTCCCACTTCAGCCTCCCAAGGTGCTAGGATTACAGGCATGAGCCACCGCACCAGGCCTATAGGCTTTATTGTTTTACCTTTGACCTTTAGATCTGCTCTCCATCTGGAATTGATTCCTGAGAGGCAACATTTTAAAAAATGGTTTGTCTCCTCTTTCCAGCTAATACTTTTATATGTCTTTTTCTTTTTTAAGGGGTAAAAGGTATTTAACATGGTTGGAAAAATAATGTAGTGTCTAAGAATTGGTTGATTATAAAGATTTACCCTCAGGTGGTGATTGCAGAGTCAGGAGGATGAGCCAATGATTTGTATGCTATCATAGGCTAGAGACTTAGCTAGGCATTTCATAAACTTTAACTCACTGAATCTTTACAATATTCTTGTAAAGTAGATGGCATCATTCCTTACTTGCAGATGAGAAAACCGGGGCCCAGAGTGGTAAATAAACTTTCTCAAGCTCACACAGATAGTAAGTGTGCAAAACCATGGCTTAAAAGTAGAACACTCCTTCATTGCTGCTGGGAATGCAAAATGTTGTAGTCACTGTGGAAAATAGTTTGGCAGGTCTTCAAAACGATAAACGCAAAGTTATTGTATGGCCCAGCAATTCCACTCCTAGGTATACAACCAAGAGAACTGTAAATATATGTCCGTGCAAAAACTTGTACCTAAATTTCATAGCAGCATTATTCATAACAGCCAAAAAGTAGAAACAACCCAAATGCCCCCCCCACAGATGAATGGATAAATAAAATATGGTATAGCCGTAAAAAGGAATGAAGTACTGATACATGCTACAACATGGATGAACTTTGAAAATATTATGTTAGGTGAAAGAAGCCAGTCACAAAAGACTACATATTGTTTGATTCCATTTATCGGAAATGTCCAGAATAGGCAAATCCAGAGACAAAAGGCAGATTAGTGGCTGTGAGGGGTAATAAGTAGAGAGATGGGGAGTGACTACTAATGGGTTTGGGTTTCTTTCTGGAGTAATAAAAATATTCTGGAATTAGATAGTGGTGACAGCTGCACAACTCTGTAAATATACTAAAAACCTACCAAAGGTTGAACTTTATGATATATAAATTATA